GCCCTCCTCCCTCCACCTCTCCCACAACCTCAGAATTTCAGAGTTAGGCAAACAAAGACTCCATCAGACCTCTCCTCAAGCCGCTGGAAGTTGAGTTCCAAATGCTCTTCAGAACTAGTTAATCACATCCTGTCTTGGTAGGGGATTTGGGGGGGGGGGGCGGGGAGTAGGGTGGCTGGTACCTACCATTGGCTCTTGGTGTGTGCTTAGGCCCATTACCATGTCACTCCCCTACAAAGAGCCCCCAGCAGGGGAGCTGAGGGGCACTGGAGAGAGAGAAAGCCCTGAGAACAGCTCAAGCCTGGTGATTGGGAGCAGTTACTCCTACGGATTGTACAGGTTTCTGGCTCTAAGGCCTCTGGTCCATCTGCAAACATTTTGCAGAATGTTCCTTCACACACTGTTTTTAGGGAGGAGAAGCACTTTACTTATTTATTTTTAAAATATCTATTTATTTGGGGGGGGGGAGAGAGAACACAGAAGCAGGGAGAGTGGCAGAGGGAGAGGGAAAAGCAGGCTACCCGCTGAGCAGGGAGCCCAATGCAGGGCTCAATCCCAGGACCCTGAGATCATGACCTGAGCTGAAATCAAGAGCGGACTGACTGAGCTGCCCAGGCACTCTGGGAGGAGAAGCATTTTCACTTTCTAATACTGTATTATTCAGGCACTTCCAGATTCCTCATTCTTTTTATTTTTATTTTTTTTAATTTTTTTTTTTAATTTTTATTTACTTATGATAGTCACAGAGAGAGAGAGAGGCAGAGACACAGGCAGAGGGAGAAGCAGGCTCCATGCACCGGGAGCCTGACGTGGGATTCGATCCCGGGTCTCCAGGATCGCGCCCTGGGCCAAAGGCAGGCGCCAAACCGCTGCGCCACCCAGGGATCCCCAGATTCCTCATTCTGTTTTTTATTCCCTTTCTTCCAGTTAAATATAGTCTGTTCTCTGACATGTTGAGCAGTAAGGCTGACTGCTGGCCCACCCTGGAGGCTGACAGACAGTGGCCCAAGGTGGAGGTCTCCTCTCTCACCTTCAGAGATTCACCAGCAGGGAATGTAGGGTTAGGAGGAAGGAACATGAATAGGACACTTGGATTTGTTCAGAGTCAGAAATCCAGCTTCCAGAGGTGTCTGCAGACCCAAAACAGGACCACTTTCAAATTCTGATTTTCCCACTTAATCACTGTGTGACCTTAGGCAAGTCACTTAACCTGTTTCCCTTCTACAGATAGAATGGGGACTGTGGTATTTGACTCATCAAGTTATGGAAAGAACTGAATCAAAAGGATAGGGCAGTGACTGGGGACAGCCAGAAAGCATTATGTCACCATTGTCTACTCAACCCCCTCATTCTGACCCTGCTTAGTCTGGAGCCAAGTGGAAAGTTACCTGTCCTTTTAAAAAATGATCATCAATGTGGGGCTATCACAGGGCCCAGCTTTAAGCTTCCTATACCAGAAGGAGAATATGTGACATTCATATAGAAATGAAAATGTGGGTCCTTTGGTACTTCTAAATGTCAACAGATGTTTGCTTTAGGCATGCAAAGTGTCCTTGGATCCCTGAGAAGTATAAACTGGACGATGTTCAGCCCAGGGACAAGGCAGGGCTGGTCAAAGGAGAAGGGTGCTGGTAGAGAAAGGGAGGGACCTGGGGCAGAGGCAGTCAGGACAGAAAGCCAGAAAGGTGGGGAGAAGGAAATGGATGCAGGATGGTGGGTTGGAGGTGCAGCAGCTGGAATGTGGAGAGCCTGTCACAGGGCAGAAAGGGGCAGAAGAGAGTCCTGATTCAACTCTAGGCCCTCAAACAGTGGGTAACACTGAGCTATGAGGAAGACTCGCCAAGTCAGACACATGGGATAAACCAGAAGTGGACTCTTACCTCTATAGACCCAAAATAAATGGGGCTGCAGGCAGCTCATGGAGCAGAAGTCCTGGACCTTGAGCATCTGGCCTCACACTGGCTCCTGCAGCTAAAGGGAGCAGCAGCAGGATGCAGCCAGGAGACTGCTGGACTATTTAACCTGAGCCAAGGTGAGAAGCAGAGGATAGAGCTTCTGGCACTTGGTGAGGCCACCTGCCCAACACAGACCTGGGCCCCAGTGGGAGACAGAGTGGGGTGGTGTGGGAGAGAGACTGAAGTGGCTGCGTGGCGGCCCTGGACAGAGGGGTCTTCCTTCTTTCTCCTGGGCTAAGTGACGTTGTGGATTAGTTCATCTATCTTCATGAAGTCCCAAGAGACAGGTGCTGTTAATGTCATACTTGACAGCTGAGGGAACCAGGAGGTCAGCCAGCTAGGGGTAGAACTTGGCCAGAAACCCAGGCAGCCTACACCCATTCCTCACTGCAGCAAATCAAGGGAGAAGAGACAGCATTCTCCCACCCTGCATATTCTACTCTGAGGCTGCCGCCATGGTATAGATCAGAGGACCGAGGGCATGAAATGGGGAGGGTAGCCCTGGGGCTGCCTGGCTAGAGGAGTCACCATCCTCCCCAAATGGCTCACCAATCCCACCTCAGCATGGACAGCCCCCAGCAGTGGTCCCTAAGCTCACATGAACTACAGATGCTTGCATCATATGGGAGGGGGTGGTTCCAGGAATGGAGCCCCAGCAAAGCCAGGGATCTCTTTCTGGGCACGTCTGACTGGAAGGCTCAAATGAAAAACCTATTAACCCCCAGGCTGCTCCAGAGCTCCCTGGGGCGGCTTCCCTCTCCTGGCTTCCTCTCTCTATTGGGCCCTCAGCAGACACTCCCCTCCCCATGCCAGCCTTTTTTTCTAGACCCCAAATCTCAGTTGGATCCGTGGCATGCTCAGAGGCTGCTGTGCAACTGATGCATGGTCCTGCATCTCTCACGGACAGCTTACTGACATAAGATCTCCAAGTGGCCATTAATCCAGAGTCCGGCCTATGCGAAGGCCTCCTCCTGAAGCACTAGATACTTCCCAAAGATCTCCAAGGAAGATTTCACCTGGCCCTTCTTACTGTCAAGAAGTCCTTCTTTGCATCTGACCTCAGTCCTCCTTATGGCCTACCTCCAAAACAAAGCATGCTGTTGCCTTCTACTGGGAGACAGCCCAGTACAGTCTCAAGAGAGCAGGGTCTTGGGCTGGGGAGGACAACTGGCTTGGTCACAGATGGTGTGACCCTAGGCAACATGCTTATCTTCTCTGTTTCCACCATTCTAAAAGAACAGCACCTGTACAGGAGATAACCAGACACCAAGTGCTTGGAGAAGAGCCCATCCCAGGATAGACTCTCAGTGAGCAGCTGCCTGTTAGAGTTACAGTTGTGATGGCTTTCCCATCCCTGAGAAAGGCCATCTTGCCTGTCCCTCCTGGTACACGCTGGGCTTGTCTTCTTGAGAGGGGAGGGCCCATGGCACGACTCAGCCTGCCTGCCTCTGTGAGGAAGGCCCTTGTCTCTGTTCTTGGACCTTCTAGGAACCTCCCACACCAACTGACAACCATAAAATAGTCAGTAGGAATCCCCGAAAATGTTGGTGGAAGATGCTGGGTCATTCCTCCAGGCTAGGTCCCTAGGCAGGCAGACTGCAGTTGGGTTAATCACACACACCCCTACTCCTGACCTCCCGTTGTTTTGCCAGCTCTGGTGCCCTCTGTTAGTAGAAGAGTACCCAGCCTGACACATAAATCATAGAAACAGTGCTCCGAGGAGCATGCAGATGCTTCTAAAAATAGTCATCACCTCTTCTGACTGTGGGAAGGGAAGGGAAATGAGTGCCCACAGCATCTGTAGGAGTGGAAAGCCTGAGGAAGAGCTACCGTTCTCTGCAGGGCCACCTCCTCATCCCACTGCTCTGAGACTAGGACCAGGGTGGGCCATCCAGGGGTGCAGCGTACTCAAGGAACCTGCATTGTTTGCTTTGTGCATTCAGGTAAGGGGGTAGCCTGCATAGCTCCGAGACATTGACATTGACACTGCCCTGGGGAAAAGTCTGGCTTGCCTTTGGGGAGATTGCCCCTTCTGATTTGAGCCTCCAATAACCTAGAATCAGCCCATTCTGGCTCTAATACAGCCTCAAACCTTCCTGGGTTAAGTAGGGTCACATAATCCTCAATCCGAACAAAAAGTTCAAGTCACTGAGTCCAAGCCCTGCCGCAGGGAGCCATGTGCCCACAAGGAAGGCAGGAGAGACAGTCCCTGCACCGGCCTCCTTCTCACCCCCAACTTATAAGCAAACCAGCACACGGCTTCTTAGAGCTGGCTTGAGATGGAAACGTTTCCCGGAGCAGGGGAGCTCCAGGCCAAAGCCACTCGCCATGGCCAAAGGGAGTACCATTAGCTCCTGACAGAGCCAGTTGACCCAGGCCTGCCTGCGCCCTGGCTTCCCTCCTGTTTTGGTTCAACTCAAAGTGAAAGAGAATCAAGACACCCTGAATCAAAACCTGCTCTGCATCCCTAGAAGCCAGCGGAGAGCAAAATGGTCTATTCTCACTTCTTCCCAACCAGCAGCTTCTGCATTCCTGGCCTGAGATCCAGAGATGCCAGGACTGAGTGGGACAGGATGAGCCGAAGAGGGCTGTTTTGGGATGGTGGGGCCCAGAGCCAAGGGCTGAGGGAGAGACAGGGAGGAGCTCGGGAGGGCTAACCCAGAGGGATAAGTCACAGAGTTAATACGGGCTTTGCAATCAGGTGCACAGCCTGAGATCCTCCTCTGCCAAATGCTCCTCAGCCTCTGTTTCCCAGACACCCTTCAGACCAAAGCTCCCCTACGAGGCTCGCCTTGCCAGGGCTTGGGAGCCTCGTCCCTTGCTGCGCTTCCTCCAAAATTGAAGCTAATCCCTCCTTATCACTTCTCTCCCTTCTGGCCTGCTTCCTTCATGTTTCACACCCTAATACCAAACCGGTCCTCTCACTGGCTAGGAAGCTTCTTGCAGACCTTGCACATACACACAACTCCAGCATCTTCAGTAAATGAGGCACAATCCTAACACAGGCCACTTTGGATCTTAGAAGGCCAAAGCAGAAGGACTCACCCAGAAGGAATGGGGCAGGGACAGGAGGCCAGGAGTTGGGTAGAGTTGACCACTCCACCTCTCCCCTGAACGAGTTGTGCTCCAGTTCATCCAGCGTCTTCTCAGCCTCCCTCCGAGGGGACAGATGGGGATGGAAAGCTAGGCATTTCTCAGGACCCAGGCTATTCCAATGTGCAGAAGCCTCAGCAAAATCCCAGCTAGATCTGCCCCCCTGGATGCTGGCCTCAGAGCAAACACAGCAGCCCTGCTCCGGGTGGAATCAAAATAATTCCTGGTTTCCCTGTTCCTTGCCACCTCCCACTTGCCACCTCCCCAGCCCTTGGTGACATAAACAGGGCTTTATTATCTCAAGCCCACCACGTCCTCTCAAAGTGCTGTGAATGGAATCCCACACAATACACTTGTTTATTAATAACCATTCAGCCCCCCACCCCCCAACCCCAGCCTGCTCATTCGCTCACCACTGGGTCTCCCTCATGCATAATGGAAGAGTTATGTGGCCCATGACACAAGCCAGGCTGTGCTGCTCAGCCTCTGAAGGAATAGACGGAGAGAAGTACCAGGCTGGGCCAGGCTCCCCAAGGCAGGGGTGGAAGGAGGAGCAGACCCCCCACTTAAGACCAGAAGATGTAATGTTCTGTGGGTGGTATCGGCCTCCCCCATACGCATGCCCTCCCCGAACCCAAGCCAGGATGGCAGCGGGTCATGTAACACTTATTCAACACCCTCCCCGCCCAATCCAAAGCCCCACAAAGGACGAGGGCTCACAGTGTCAACTACAGCTCGCTGGCCCACTTCTCCTCTAAAGCCTCAGGACAAACCTCTCTCTCTTCCACTCAATAGCCCATCACACATGTGACTGTGGCCACGAGTGTACCCTCGCCTTCTGTCTAGCATCTAAGTCCTCGCCAGACTATGTATCTCCAGTCCCGTTGCCTTGCATGCAACTACTTCCATATCCTGTACCAACCTGTTCCCCCTGCAATGGCCAAAATTCTGAGGGTCAGGCTTCCTCTTAAAGTGTACAGCCCAGCCCTCCTATATTGCTGGTAAGAGTGGACTCTGCTAACATTCCTCTGGAGGGAAATCTGAAAATGCATCTAAAAGTCTTAAAAATGGGATGCCTGGGTGGCTTGGTAATTGAGCATTTGCCTTCGGCTCTGGGCATGATCCGGGGTCCAAGGATTGAGTCTCGCATTGGGCTCCCTGTGGGGAACCTGTGTCTCCCTCTCTGTCTCTGCTTCTCTCTGTGTGTCTCAAATAAATAAATAAATAAATAAATAAATAAATAAATAAATAAATAAATAAATAAATAAATAAATAAAATCTTTAAAAAAAATAAATGAAAGTCTTAAAAATGTTTATGCCCTGGGGCACCTGAGTGGCTCAGTCTGTTAAGCATCTGACTCTTGGTTTCAGCTCAGGTCATGATCTTGGGATTGTGGGACTGAACTGCTGTCAGGCTCCATGCTCAGCAGGGAGTATGCTTGAGATTCTCTCTCCTTCTGCCTCTGCCCCCCCCCCCGCTCATGCTTTCTCGCTCTCTTTAATATGTAAGCAAAATATTTTAAGTTTGATCTATTTATTAGACACACACACACACACACAGAGGCAGAGACACAGGCAGAGGGAGAAGCAGGCTCCACGCAGGGAGCCCAACATGGGATTCGATCCCCGGGCTCCAGGATCAGGCTCTGGGCTGAAGGCGGCACTAAACTGCTGAGCCACCCAGGCTGCCCTAAACAAAACCTTCTTTAAAAATGTTTATGCTGGGGCACCTGAGTAGCTCAGTGATTGAGCATCCGCCTTTGGCTCAGGTCGTGATCCCTGGGGTCCTGGGATTGAGTCCCTGCAGGGAACCTGCTTCTCCTTCTGCCTGTGTCTCTGTCTCTCTGTGTGTCTCTCATGAATAAATAAAAAATCGTTTTAAAAAATCTTTTTAAAAAGTTTATGCTTTGTTTCATAAATTCTACTTCTGAGGGTAGATCTTAGGTAAATAATCAAGGATAACTAAAATATGTAATTCACACAAATGTTCATCAGAATATTGTTTATAATAGTAAAAAGTTAGAAACAATCTAAAGGGCCATCACTAGGGGAAATGATAAACTACGCCATGTCCATGGTGTGACAGGAAGTAGTGTCTGAAAATAAGGATTCTGGGGCAGCCCCGGTGGCTCAGTGGTTTAGCAATGCCTTCAGCCCAGGGCATGATCCTGGAGACCCGGGATCGAGTCCCATGTCAGGCTCCCTGCATGGAGCCTGCTTCTCTCTCTGCCTGTGTCTCTGCCTCTCTCTCTGTGTGTCTCTCATGAATAAATAAATAAAATCTTTTTTAAAAAAATGAAAATAAGGATTCTGGAGCCAGATGATGTGGGTTCAAAATCTGGCTCTGCCATTTACTGGCTGTGTACCTTGGGCAAGTTATTCAGCCTCTCTGTACCCCATTCTCTTCATTTGTATAATTAAGGTAATAATAGTATTAATCTCAAGTTACAAAATTCAATGAATGATAATGCCCGACACATATGGTAAATAACAAAAAAAGACTGGATTCTTATTACTATCATAAGCCATTAAATGTTATATAATTATTAAAATGATGAAATCATATTTTAATGATACGAAAAATTATTCAGTGAAGATAGCAAATTACAAAAAGAGTAAGAGGGATCCCTGGGTGGCGCAGCAGTTTAGCGCCTGCCTTTGGCCCAGGGCGCGATCCTGGAGACCCAGGATCGAATCCCACGTCGGGCTCCCGGTGCATGGAGCCTGCTTCTCCCTCTGCCTGTGTCTTTGCCTCTCTCTCTCTCTCTCTCTCTCTCTCTCTCTCTCTCTCTGTGTGACTATCATAAATAAATAAAAAGTAAAAAAAAGACTTTCTAAAAAAAAAAAGAGTAAGAATGGCGTCTCTTTGGGTGGTAAAATTATGGATAATCCGCATTTTTTCCTTTGCGCTTATATATATTTTCTAAATGTTCGTCAAAGAACATAAACTCCTTTTATTCATAAGAAAAGGTATCTGTAACAGTGTGGCATGATCCCCAGCACAGAACACACACCAGCCCTGGTTCCAGATGCTGCCCTTCCTCTGGGACAGCTCAGCTTGCACTGCCTCTCTGACCATCACATCACGTTGCTGGCTCTTATTGAGCTTCAAGTCAACATCGCAGCCCCCTGGCCCTGGCTCCCTCCTGCCCTACACCTTGCCCCCAGCCTGGCTTTCTCCCAGGGGCTACTGTCGAGCCATTTCTCTTGTTTATAATGAACATTCATTCGCTAGTAGAGTTTCTAAGAATGTAGGAAGGATACTTGAGTAAGGCACACCAGAGTGGAGGGTGTCGGTCCTGTGGTTCAGAGCCAGAATAGAACGGTACACCCCAGGTGGGGGCAAAGGGAGCCCATTTCCCACATCAGCACGGTAAGAGAGGGGTTAGGAGAGAAACCAGATTTAACCCACATTGGAAGGAATAAAAGGAGGTTATTTTTTTTTAAGATTTTATTTATTAATGAGAGACACAGAGAGAAAGGCAGAGACATGGCAGAGGGAGAAGCAGACTCCCTGTGGAGAGCCTGATGCAGGACTCAATCCCAGGACCCCAGGACCCCAGGATCATGACCTGAGCCAAAGGCAGACGCTCATCCACTGAGCCACCCAGGTGCCCCAGATTCTTTTATTATTATTATTATTTTTTAGATTTTTAAAAAAATTTATTAGAGAGGGCACAAGCAGAGTGAGAGGCATAGGAAGAAGCAGACTCCACCCTGAGTGGGGAGCCCAACGTGGGGGCTCGATCCCCGGACCTGGAGATCATGACCTCAGACAAAGGCACTTAACCATCTGAGCCACCCAGGTGCCCAAGGAGGTTAGATTCTGAGAAAATCAGGCAAGCATTCAGATGGGGGCGGCGGTGTCCCCAGAGAGCAGGGCTGCCCCACTGCTTTGGCGGTCTACTGTCTTCTGGAGGTTTCTTTTGAGGCAGCCATACAGGTCAATCCCCCAGAGCCAGCTGTGTCACAGCTCCCTTCTTGAGTGAGGGAGACTGCCCCAGTGCAGAACAGGGGGTTGGGAAGGATTGGTAGCCAGAGGGGAGGAATGCAATAGGGAGCAGGGAGACCTGCTGGGGCTGGCTGGCCTCAATGTGGGTCACATTCGCAGAGGACAGCCCACAGCAGTACAGGATGGCCGTGGCTGTGAAAACAGCTGGCGTGCCTGTGGGAGAGCTCCAGCTTGACCCAGGTCCTAGGTGGGGCTCCCCACCCCCGCCCCTGCAGGCTCACTCCCCTGCCACCCACTGCCCTCCCCCTAGAGGCCGGTGTGCCAAGCCCCGCCTACCCACTCTCCCATACCAGAAGAGATAAGCAATGCAGTGATCTGGGGGACGGTTGACCTTGCCAGAGTGTGGCCAAGTGATTGCCTACAGGAAAGGAGGGGACAGCGTGGGGTTGGGTGAGCCTGAGGCCCTCAAACTGCAGTTGTTAAATGACCCTGGTTGTCCTGGCTAAAGGTCTTTTTCCTCTCTGGGTGCATAATCCTCATTCCAGGGATGGAAAGTGATTTCTATTGTAACAGGAAACCTGCAGTATTTTGTCTGAAGGATTTAAACAGAACTGTGGGTGGCTCCTGTCAGAGGAGCTGTAGAAAGCCAAGCACGGAGGCGGAAAGCACCTTTGAGGGCTCATCCAGCGCTGAGACCCCAGGATCACACAGGGCTGGTGGCACCATCAAGAAAGAAGCCATTCAAAGGGGACCCAGGAGGAAAATGTGAGGAGTCTCCCTGCTCCCACCAGCAGCATGGCCTGAGTCAGCACCCACTGGAGCATATGTCTGCCTCAGCTGTGGTGCGACTGCCACATGGGTGTGCTTGGGGTTGTGTCTACATGTGAGCATGTATTCATGAGTGTGCATGAAAGCATGTACCTGTGCATCCTTGGGAAGAGTTTCAGTTCCCAAATGTGTGGCTCAGTGAGTGTGAGCACTCTGCTTGGCTCTGTGTGTATGTGCACGTGTGTATATGTGTGTGTGTGTGTGTGTGTGTGAGAGAGAGAGAAAGTGTTTAGGGTATGTATATGTCTTCCTGGCTGGTCTGGTAGGCATATGCGTAGGTGTGTCCC